GCTCCATCTTGTTAGAAATGTAACTGGTTTTAATCAAGAAAGGTGTTTCTATTTCTATCTAGTTGATTTTCAAGTGCTTCAGTAATTAGTGGATTGATAGTATTTTTTAGCATATTCAAGTACACCTCACCATTCAGATTCCCATTGATGAAAAATGGACCAATTTCTTGATTTCCTAGTATATCGGCCCATATATTTAGTTTTTGGGGATATTGGGTATGCCGTTCGACAAACACATCGTCATTTTTAGTGGTGCCCGCGAGAGTCTCGTTTTCGAAAGTCTCGCATGGTCTTGTCTCGTTTTCGAGACAAGACTCGGGACAAGACTCGGACAAGACGAGACGAGACTTTTATTGGTCTCGTCTCGAGTCTCGTGCAAGACTTCTCGTGTCTCGTGCGAGAGTCTCGCAGGTAAATATTTCTGCGTGGCGACTGCAGACTTGAGAATTCCATTCATAATACAACATATTCAGGAATAATTCATACTATTTGGCACAGATAGACAAAACATTTCAATCATAAATACTTTGAAAATACAATGCATGATTGTTGTAAAACGACGTAATGCGTGAAACGAAAACGGACTATTCGTACGGCGGCGGAATATAAAGGAATTCTGCAATAACGACAGATCGCAAATTGAATGACTACCTGAGTACCTGAGAATCAATAATTAAGTCATTCTGTGCTAAATAGTCTAAGATAAAGAATAACTTCATGTCTTAACGACTGGAAGAGAAACAAAAACATTTGCGATAGTGAAGGCTTAAATACCTATTTCTTAAATAAGTAAAATAATGTTGGATTGAAGTTTTTGTTTTTTTATTTGTTTATATGTATATACGTGCTACTTTTCATCTTATTTTTATAACTTTCGAATATATCTACCTATTCGGTATTTGCTTTTCAATAACTATTGTTATTCTTGTTGTAATTTTCTGTTCCTACTTCTACATTCTACCTAAAAAGTAGGTAAAGGTAAATATCCCGTACTAGACTGGAACAAGATTATGCATGACGAAATTGCGATACATTTGCGAGACTCTCGTACGAGACGCGAGACAAGACGAGACTCGTGGCTGCGAGACGAGACTCGAGACAAGACTTCATATTTCATCGCCAATCATCGGCGAGACGAGACGAGACTTTATGAAAGTCTCGTCTCGTTGGTCTCGTGTGAATCACTAAGTCATTTTCATTGTTCCAATATCTGCAATTATGTTATATCGAAGACTGGAACCTTTGGCACGATAATACACTACACTGTTTTACCACTAACCAAACCGATTTTTTAACGCCTCGACACGTGTTTCGCTAACTATGTTAGCATCTTCAGGAGAAGATTAAAAAAGTTTTAATCTTAGTGGTAAAACAGTGTAGTGTGCAATTATGTTTATTGACAAATCCATTCAAATATAAAGGACACTCATCAAAGAAGTAGATATTTGAAAAAAATGCGATATTGTAAGGCGGAATACTAAAGTTTAGGCATGAACAATATTGAAAATTTAATAAGCGTTGAAGTAGAATATGATTATGAGTTCAGTTCAACATTGGTGGCGTGTTATAGTATCAGCAGCTGATTTTTGCTTTGGGATTTTCCATAGTGATAGGTATTTATTATGATGTAGAATAGGTATAAGCAACACAACGAAAAACATGAAACATCAGTAGAAGCAGCATTTTTACATGGGTGCATTTTTCTTGGAACATTTCATTCTGGTTTCGTTGAAACGTTCTTGCAGCTAAAAAATATTCTGGAAACCTGGATGAAACGTCTGGTTTATGTTTCAAGTAACGTTTCAAACAGTCCTCAATAGGGTATAATTGAAATGTTTCTGGAAAGTTTCGTATCTAGTGGGTATATTCAATAACAACCGATATAACAATAACATCTGGCAGTCTCAACCAAAATGGAATACACTGTACAGGGTGTGCCAAATTGGACAATTTTGAAGAAAAAGGCCTATCCTCGAACCAGATGGAAAAATACTGATGTCGGTGAAATCTGCATATCGATATTTTTCTTCGTTTTGGAGTTACAAGGTGTTTTTAGAAAATGGGAATTTTTGGAAAAGTGGCTACAGATGATTTTTTGGCAAACATTGTCTGTTCCTATGGAAATAACTGCAAAGCATAGTTCAAGAATATAACTTATTCTTCTTGGAAGAAAAGTTCTATTTTGCAACTAGGTATACGGTGACTGATTTCAGTGCCTGAAGATCAATTTTCATGACAAACACAATGTTTTGGGAATGTTTTCATGAAAACGAAGAATTTTTGACAACAGAAAGAGTTGTAACTGAAATAAAGATAGATATCGATATGCGGTTTTCACCTTTGGATATTTCAAATGAATTGATCAACAGGCACCGACATCAGTTTTTTCCTATCTCGTACGGGAATAGGACTTTCCCATTGAAAGTGCCCAATTTGACCCACCCTGTAGATTTTGAGGGAAATAACGAAAGTGGTACTCAACACCGACTATTTTATCAGGAGACTGAATCTCGTTATGAAATAAATGACAATTATGGTTTATCGTATACATCTGTGTTTGTTTATGATGATCAATAATAATCTCTCTCAATTTTTTAGATTTTCTCTCCTCGTCTCGATAAATGAATATATTAATTATTACATCAATACACTTGTTGTCAGAAAAAATCAGATGGCATCAACATGTCACACCTACTTTGAACACAAACCAATGTTATTATCTCCTTTCAGAAGAATGCAATCAGATTCTTCGATTTTAATTTCATCGTTATCTTATTTTTCTATGATTTCATGTAAACACTTCTGAAATCTGAGTATTTTGATGATTATTTCAAGATCATTTGATAAAAAAACATCCTTAATCCGCTTCATCTATGTATTCAAGTATTTATTCAGAATTTTGGCTGCCCAACAGAAAACACATGCGATTTTATTAGGCCTGCCTCAGTAACAAAAATATATACAGGGTGGCCCTTTGAAAACGACACAGAGGCACTGTAGGTCAACAAAACCGCCAACTACATTTTCGAAGGGGAAATCGTTCCAAAATACTTTCAGCCCTCGGCGTTGCCGCTTCCAACGGAAAGAAGCAACAACTTTGTTATTCCAAATGGAACACTTTATATTTCATTGCATTTCTAGATTCCCCCGAAGAGCTGATTTCATCAATGCATCACACTTGAGATCTAGCGGCAATGATTACAGAGCTATAGGGTGTTCAAAATCGATATTATTCTACTTAGGATTTTTTTGTGTCAAAACCATTCATCATTGGTCAAAGCGGCTTCTATAACCCTATCCCAACTTTTGATTCACTATCTACTGACATTTATTTGAAACAAATACAGGGTGGTTCAAGATTCAGAAGTCTGATCACCCTGTATCTGTTCCAATTAAATGTCAGTAGATAGTTAATCAGAAGTTGAGATGGGGAAATGAAAGCTGTTTTGACTAATGTTGAAAAATCTCGATTTTGAACACCATATATCCCTGAAATCATTTCAGCTAGACCCCAAGTAAGATCCATTGATGAAATCAGCTCTTCGGGGAGAATCTAAAAATGCAACAAAGTTGTTGCTTCTTTTCCTCAGAAGCGGCAACGCCGCGGGCTGAAAATATTTTAGGACGATGTCCCCCTCGGCAAGGTAGTGTTCCGGATTTTTTTCATAATCCGGTTTTGGCGACCTACAGAGCCTCTGTTTCGGTTTCAAAGGGCCACCCTGTATAATACTTTTGAATCGAAAGTATCCTATTACTATAAGTACGCAACTAAAATTGTGAGATGATGTAACAATTCGATATAATCAAATTTTTTGAATATATATATTGAGTGCGGTATTTTTAGAGAGCTCTTCAAAAGTTTCTTCCAATGGTGATGAGATATATAGGGTGTTTTAATTAAAATTCACTCACGTATCGCTTCTTCCTGTATGATTTTCCAGAAAGTGAAAATGTATCTGTTGATTCAAGAAGGAAAAAACTTCCCCTGTAGGCCGATTTTTTTTTGTCAAAATAACAGAGTTATAGGGGGTGATACTTTCTGACGTGTCACACGTTACATCAGAGTCTATATCTTCCACGAACATTATAGGAATTTACTTTCGTGCGCTCCAAGAGATGAAAAAAAAAGTTTTTTAACGAATTAGGTATTTTGACTGTTACAAGGAAGAAGAGGTCAATTTCAATGCGGTAAAGCTCATTCTTCTTCTCATAAGTTGTACTTTTACTTTACATTACTTCAGTTGATTTTCATTTGTTTTTTGATTTTTATTCATTATTATAAGCAAATTAGTGTTGCATATGAGTAATTCGAGACCAGTAAGGCTTCGAATAATCCTCATTTGTTCGATGTTATTCAATTGATCATTAAAAACAAATTGTATCCTCCATCTGTGGCCGTAACTTGGGAAAATTGTCTCTGCTGTTTCACAGTGAATATTTTGAATTGACTCGGCCGTTAGTTGATGGAAATCCATGGAAAATGCAAAAACTCCTCAAACGATAATATTACCACAAAATTCTCAAACACACGACATGTTTCGCTAACAAAGTTGCTTCGTCAGGTGATATACTGGTACAATCAAGTAAACCAACCTTGGCTTTCTCAACTTTTATATATCCTACTCTCCCAACCTGAAGGATTAGTTAGAAATTAGGCACAATATCCACATCAAAATACGGGGTACCGGATTAACTTGAGAGGGTTGAATTATTACCTACTAAGAGAACAAATTCAACAGTGGTGAACTATTATTGAGGTCTATTGATCGTTAGACCTCAATAGTATATGGGATCTACCCAACGAAACTACCCCTTCCTACCCCTCTTAACGGTTGAAATACCTGATATGTTTATAATAATTGATTATTGATGAAAAAAACAAATTAGCTGCGCATTATACCACCTTTCTCGATCAAACTACACACTATATGAACTTCTTTGTTTTTCCAGTTGGTCCTCTGATAACATCAGTCGACATACCGATATCCTGGACTTCCCCGATGTTCCTCAGCCTCTACTCCACGAACGCATCCGTCAACCCACTGGATAGGCCCATCACCCAAACCGAAGACGCCTGGATAGTGTCTTTGGTGCCACTTGGAGCCGTCATAGGCCCATTCTTGTTCGGATACCTATCCGACAGGCTAGGAAGGAAGATAGGCCTTCTGCTCACGTCCACACCACTGATAGCATCCTCCTTCATCCTGGCGTTTTTCTCGTCTAGCGTTTACGTCATATACTTCGCCAGGTTGATTGCTGGATTCAGCATGGGGGCTGGATACGCGCTGTTACCGGTTTACCTGTCTGAAATAGCAGAGGACTCTAACAGAGGAATGGTGTCTCAGGCACTGAATATATTCTGGTCCTTTGGCAACTTCATATCCTGCGCTGTGGGTCCGTTTTTGCCGTACATGGTCTTCAATATAGTAATCGGCTGTATACCTACAGCTTTCTTCGTGGTGTTCTTGCTTTGGGCTCCAGAAAGCCCGTACTATCTGGTATCGAAGGGCGATATAGAAGGTGCCAAGCAAACTCTGACTAAGCTCAGGATGAATGACGAGAAGGTAGTAGAGGAAGAGATGGCATCTATCAAGGAGTTCTTGGAGAAAGACAAGAAAGGAGGTATATCCGAGGTGTTTTCGAATCCACCAGTGAGAAGAGCATTCATCATCTGTACGTTCTTGGTATTCACTCAGGAACTTTGCGGGTTCTCGGTTTTCCTGATGTATATGCAGCCTATTTTCGAAGCAGCTGGTATTGGACTATCTTCGGATAAATGCTCTCTGATCATGTCTGTGGTCATCATAACTTCGAGCTTCATAAACCCATTTTTCATTGATAAGGCAGGCAGGAAGATACTTATAGTTATGTCCTGTTTCGGCATGTTCATATCTTTGACTCTGGTAGGAGCTTTCTTCTACATCAAGACATCGACTGATCTGAGTACAGATCCGATAACCTGGTTGCCAATTTTCAGCCTGATATTCTTCATATTCGCCTTCAATTTCGGACTGGGTGCTGTACCATGGACTCTCACCTCCGAGATGTTCCCGAATAACCTGAAGCAAGTCGTTTCCACCACGATATCGGCATCCAGCTGGTTAGCTTCAGCAGTATTAACCCGTTTTTATAACGACATGAATGATAGCCTGGGGAGAGCTGGAAGTTTCTGGTTCTTCGCAGGGTACTGCCTCATATCCGGAATCGTGAGCTTGATATTCTTACCTGAAACTAAGGGGAAGAGTTTCGCAGAGATTCAAGATATGTTGCAGTCGGACAGTATTATTTATTTCAGAAGTGAAGCAAGAGCTAAAAAAGAAGTAAGAAATGTGATGAGTACTCGGTTTTGACTTGATTTGAAAAAGAACTACATGAACATAGAATGGTAATGAGAGTTCTTGAGATTTCTAGGGATGATTAACTCATCATCAGGATATGAAGATCTGCCTTCGGAATGAGTTGTCGAGATTTTCTTATTCAGTGACATCCCAATAATACAGCAATGTCGATGCAAAAATTTGGCTATGTTCATCAACGGTTAACATTTTGTGGACATTGAAAGTTGAAATAGCCAGTGATTGACCGATGTGATATAAATAATTCTATTTCATAAACATGCTGTGACAATAGTGCGTCGAAGTCCTGATGGTCCAATCATATGATAGCTAGATAATGGTACTTACATGGTTCCAAAACGATTATAAACAACACAACAAGTACTCACAAGATGCATCTCCAGTTTGCATCCGTTCCACGGTTATAAATACCTGGAGACCAGGGTGGACGTGGACTCTTGAGCTTGGAATATATCCATAATAGAATGGTTCTAAATGGCGCCTGGAAAGTTATCAGGAGTTTGGATCCCCTCCTGCAGATGGGCAGGAGTAGGAGCTTTTCTCTTCAGGGCAGCACGTCGAGCAGCCGATGAATTGTTTCTGATCTTCGAGTCTGGGCGTGAGGCTCAGGACTCAGTAAGTAAGCTGAAGCCTGCTTGGAGAAAGGCTTGCATCAAAGCTGCAGGAGTGAAAAAGCTCCTGCAGCTTCACATGGATAAGTCCATGCATTCGGTCTACTTCAAGACTATTGAAGACCAGGGCCTAACCAAAGAACAGATTTTTGCATTCCTGAAGTCAGGCGGGCTTGAGTCGGAATCATGGCATGCCAGGATGGAGTCTTCCACACCCTCGTCTACCGTAGCCGCATCATAAGTACAAAGATCCCGCAGGGCGCCCGAAACACTAATGCACCTACTGTCTTCTTGCTCACTGTATGCAGTCTCGATCCATATCCATACTATCATTTGAGGCACTCATACGAAATAGACGAGACCATAGTGCTGCCCTATGCTCCAGCCATCTCCAGGGGATATTTCATTGTGGAGAATGAGAGGTGCCGAATTTATTGGAACCACTCATTTCCTACCCTCAGGCAGATACAGGCTAACAAGCCTGATGTAATCCTCCTCCACTATCAAACCGAAGCTATGTGCGTTATTGAGTTTTCGGCGCCAGCCGAATCGACCAACGTTTTGAAAGAGAAGAAAAAAAGGACGTAATATCTCCGCAGGCTCTATACGGACCATTTGGTGGAAATGGTCATCCTGATAATCGGCTTCCTAGGAGGCACACGACATACGCTGCTCTCGGACTCTGCGTGGCGTCGAAGGCCGCAGAGTAGTGACTAGAAAATAATGATAATTTATTAGCCCCAGCTATGTGTGAATTACATTTAAGGTTGTCGTGTATAGAAAAATACAATACAATCACAGTTTGAAGAAAAATATTTATACACAGTATGTCTGACTAAAATGGAACGATATGGAAAACCACTTTGTTATTATTCAGGAACGGGGTTTTCAAGTTTATTCAAGTATTCCATGTACAAAAATATTACATTTTATTTTTTTTTTTACAAAAATGGGGTTAGAGTTGCTCTCTGAGTACAACATACCTAGGCATAATAGCCTGTGTGTGGGTTGTATCCAGGGCTTCTCTAAAAACTATTTGTAACTGTACATGAACTAATGCTAGAAATTTAGGCGGGCAAAGATTTAAAAGAAGAAAGAAAAAAAAAATAAGTATAGAGACTTCACACGCATGTGTATTCAATATGTGTACATTAATTTTAACCAAAATTTTGTTGATATTTGATTTGACGGTTGGTAGAGGGCAGGGATAGCAGCAATGGTGGGATGAGCTTGTTTTTTTTTTTTTTTTTTTTTTTTTTTTGTAGTAACTATCGTTGTATTTTATAGAATATTTCCTTGTTTCTCAGGATATAGTTCTTTATTTCAGTTTTGAACTTATTTAGTGTGTTAATTTTTTTTAAATGTACCGGTATTGAATTGTAAAATTTAGGACCGAAGAATAGAAATGTTCTCTGGGTTATAGTTTTTTTAAATGTATGTATTGCTAATTCTTCATTTCTAGTTTGTCTAGTTGGTTGAACAGATCTGCTTCGAAGTGAGTTTTTAGTTGTGTATACTCGAATTATACATTGATGAGCATACAATAGACTGATTGGAAGTATTTTTGTTTCTTCATACAGTAATGTTGTGGAATACTGTTTCTTTTTTCTGAATATGATTTTTATGATGGAATTTTGTGTGATATGTAGAGGACGTAAGTTGTTAACAAAGGCTCCTCCCCATATTATAATACTGTATCTTAAAATCGATTCTACTAGGCAAGTATAAAGCATTAGCAGGTTTTTGCGTGAGAGGATATCTCTTAGTGTGTAAAATCTGTGCAGTAATGCTCTTAGTCGTTTATTAACATTCGAGATGTGCTCGGTCCAGCGAATGTGCTGATCCAGGGTCACTCCTAGGTATTTTATAGATGATACTTGATCTATTACTGGGCAGGTACATGTATTAGTTCCAGTGCAACTAGATTTGTGTAAGTTTATAAGATAATCTGTGGGGGGTTGCGTATTAACTGTAGGTGTAAAAGGTATGAATTTAGTTTTGATGACATTGAGGGTGAGTAGGTTATTATCCAGCCAAATTTGTAATTTTCTTAGATCTGCTTCTGCAATTGATGGTTATTCGTCATAAAAATTTTGCATGTTCTGAAATGTAGAATATACCCATCAGATAATAGTTATTCATATACCAAGGACGAAACACTGTCTAAATATAGTCGAGACAATAAACAATTTTTCGCCGAGGTGCATATCACATTTTTTCGTCGACCTCAAACACTTATATATTATGCACATCAGGGATCCATTCACACGTGAAATCAATCGGATTTCGTGAATAATTAATTTGACAACAGCAAATGACAGTTGTTGTCGAAGGTTACCAGTTCGATTTTCATTTATTTATTTATCAGTAAATATACCTTGTCAAAAATTCAGCAGATTTCAATAGACCTGTTTAAGATGATGAAAGAATAATGAAATAAATCTATGACGAAGTAACTCACTTCCAACAGAATAGAAACAAACAAAACACATTCTCATACATAAATAATCATATTCCTAATTCTCAATTCAAAAACATTCATAAATATCACAAAATACAGTTACATAGGTACTTATACATGATACGAGTATAAAAAAACCAGAAACGAATAGTAAAAATGAACAACAAAATACAAAACGAGGAAAAACATAAGAAACAAACTGCTATAACAGAGGTATATAAAAATTGAATTTGATCTGAATCAGATAGAGTATTGTCCTTTTTAGGTTTATACAATCATGTCATTAGTACCTATATGTACATTTATTTGCCAAAATATCGCATGCAATTCATGAGCAGTGTATGTGATTAGCTTGAGATTAATAATAATATAAGTAGGTTATTATAATGATGAATAGGTGTCAAAATATTTTTCAGTAGATCAGTAGGTAGATTAATATGCAAATCATGAGATCTACAGCGGACAAAAAGTACTTGCCTTCCGAAATAATCAGTTTTACAAAATTTGATTTCTCATGATTGTATTTCAGAATAATATGTATATTCAAAATGTCGAAAATTACAATATATGACTTGAAATCGAGAATTCAAGATATTCTTCATGTGGATAGAAAACATTGTTTAATAAAATTTTCACAATTATTGCTACTTCAAACACACTTAGTCAACTCCACACATTTGTGGAAATGTGTCTTGTGAGCATTCTTCAGTACATTCGGCAAAAGGCGAGTCACCGAACATAAACAGGCGAGTTGGCATTTTTTTTTATTTCTCAAACAGAATCATCACTCGAATACCTTACATTTCCATATTTTTGAAGAATTTGTTGGTCGATTTTTAGGTGCTAAAATCATCGGTAATGCCACGGTAATTTTCAAACTGCTAAAAAGTTACCGCCAGTAGAAACTTACGCCACGATTTCGTAAGTAGGAGCCAATGAACCCAATATAAACAACTGGAAGGGACCCTCTGTGAACGACCAGTGGGGCAAAAATATTGTTCAGGCAACCCGCAGTGTTCACGGATACCTACCTCTCTCTATTACATGTTCGCTAATGGGAATTGGGAAGCGCTCGCATTATTTGAAATATTTTCTCGTTTTCTGCTTTTATTTTAGAGTAAACGTGATTAAATAAAAATATTCATATAGAAAAAAAGGAAAATGTTGCAATCAATTAATAATAATAATAAAGTTTATTCAATGAATATATACATTAGTGATATTGATAGTAGTATTTTTTTTTAGATATATGTATATAAGCATATAAACAAACATGAACCAGTGACGCAAGCTTATGTACAGGGTGGCCAACTAAGACTCCAGAGTTCGATTTCTCTGTTGTCTTGAGAGATACAAAAAAAAGTCATGTATCAAAATTGAATTAATAATCCAGCTTCACATTTCGAAATTTCTTTGAAATACACAGGGTGTTCCGTAAGGTCACAGCACATCAAAGCTATGTTTTTTTCATAGGAACACCCTATATTTTATTTCATTTTTGAATTCTCCCTGAAGATCTGATTTCAACGACGTATCATACTTAGGGTCTAGCAGTGAAAGTTACTGACATATAGGGTGTGCAAAATCGAGATTTTCCAAGTTCAGGATTTTTTTCTGTCGAAACTGTTCATTATTCGTCAAAACGGTTTACATGTCCCTATCTCAACTTTTCACTCACTATCAATTGGTGTTCAATTGACATTTAATTGGAACAAATTATAAATTAGGATTTTTTGACCACCTTGTATCAATTTCAATTGAACACCAATTGATAGTGAGTGAAAAGTTGAGATAGGGACATGTAAACCGTTTTGAAAAATAATGAACAGTTTCGACAGAAAAAAATGCTGAACTTGAAAAATCTCGATTTTGCACACCCTATTTGTCAGATACTTTCACTGCAAGACCCTAAGTATGATGGGTCGTTGAAATCAGATCTCCAGGGAGAATTCAAAAATGAAATGAAATATAGGGTGTTCCGATGAAAAAAAAACATAGCTTTGATGTGCTGTGACCTTACGGAACACCCTGTGTATTTCAAAGAAATTTTGAAATGTGAAGCTCGGTTATTACTTCAATTTTGATCCATGAATTTTTTTTGTATCTCTCATGACAACAGAGAAATCGAACTCTGGAGTCTTAGTTGGCCACCCTGTACGTGGTATGTTTGGTTACATTACAGCTCGGTTAAAACAAAAATTCATTAACATGATATAATTTAAATATAAATATTCCTATAGTTATAATAAAAGCATCATTATGTGAAATAACAATAGTAATAATAATAATAATGATAATAATATAAAGAAAATAGAGTGGTGGATAGTTGAGCTTTTGCTAGGTAGATATGATCAGTCATGATATTTTGAGTCAACAAGTATGTGTATCTCTTCTCTAGGTGTGTTTCCAATCCATTTTTTCAATTTATTAAATTTTTTTTATCATTGAGATATTATTATTGATTTTTCTATTGACTTAAAAATGAAATTTCATTTTTATTCTTACAGGATTAGGAAGTCAAATGAATACGAAATTGAAATTATATATTTTCATTCAAATGTCACAATATATTGTACAGGGCGAGCGAAGCACAATGTCTGCAAGAACTATCAGAAGAAAAAGAAAAACCATATGAAAAATTTGAAAAGAGGTTCTTGAATGGTATTGACTACCTATAAGGTCCATTTTCAGCATAATTTCCATAGGTTCCTATTTTACCATAAGGTCACTGCCTATAAACATATATATCCCTATTAGAAATTGAAAAAACACAATTCTCAATACAATATCCTTCTTCAGAGGAACAGTTTGGGTTTCTTTATGGATGAACTTTGAAACTTGGGAGCTGGAAGTCATAGGTGAAGTCCATAATATGAGAAACATCTTCCTTTGGACCCAATGTTATGAACTTAAACAGATGCATCCTGAAAATAAATTACTAGCTAGTTTTTTATTTCAAAGAGGTGCAAACATACTTATTTTTCCATTATCAATCAACTAGGTACCCATGAGTTTTCTTTCTTTTCCTTCAAGGATCAGTATTTTTTGGTAACAAATGCTTAGGAAATGGAAATATACTGGGTACAGCATCTGGTTTCAATAACCTAGCAGTACCTGGTATGTCTAAATAAATAATCAGTTGGCAGGAAATGCTCTCCACAAAGCTTGCTGGTTTTATATGGAGTCCAACTCTCTCTAGAAGGTGTTGAAAAAATATTTTTTTTACACATTTTTTACGATTATGTTGAAACTACTGACAACGTTGTGATGAAATTTTATATGGATGTGTTTTGAAAGCTGACACTCATAGAGGGCGCTAGTTACACGGTTCGTACCGAGTACTTTTAAACATAACTTTTTTGAGGTTAGATTTTTCACTACAAATTCAATGTGAACTTGAACATCATTCAATTTTACACTAAAGAGATGCGATGATGAGATGAGATTGGTACAACTTGATACTGCGTACCGTTTTCGGGATATTTCGATTTGAAAATGCTGAAGTATAACACCGATGCTAGTTGAAAGTAAATATCATAAAATACTGTTACCTATTTCATTGATAACCACGTCAAGAGCTGCAAGAAAGAATTGAATATTACTTCGATAATCTCATAGCTGTTCCTCAACCGTTGAGAAGATTGATGCATTCTTCAGAAAAAAGGATCGAATTGTGTATTCGTGAGAACGGAGGACATTTTGGACACTTACTATAACTACATAATAGATAGATAATTGTTTTTTATAATACTTATTCTAATACCACAATCAGAGTTATTGCTTCAGCATTTTCAAATCGAAATATTTCGAGAACTGTACACAGTATCGAGTTTTACAAAAAGCATAATTTCGGTGTAAAATTGAATGGTGTTCAAGTTCACACTGAATTTGAACAAAAAAATCTAACCTCAAAAAAGTTATGTTCAAAAGTACTCGGTACGAACCCTGTAACCAGCGCCCTCTATGAGTGTCAGATATAAAAACAAATTCATGCGGTGTGTCAGCTTTCAGAACACATCCATACAAAATTTCATCACAATGTTGACGGTAGTTGAATCGTAGAAAATGTGTGAAAAAAATATTTTTTCAACACCTTGAATCTTGAAAACGGATTCTGCCGTTACGATTTTTTGTTCACTGAGCAAACCCAACTTATTTTGCAATGTTCTATACCTACCCTAGCAAAGGGGTTAGGTTTTTTTTGAAACACCCTGTATAACTAAAACTGGTCTCATAATTTTAATAACCTTCAAATTATTATACACTCAACTATTTCTGTTTATGAGTGCTACCATCAGAATTGATGGCGGGAAAACAAGAAGTATCAGATTCAATTCAGTGAATCACGATCCTCTTGATGAACTTTGTGGATTATTCTGAACAGAGTGTATTTATATCTCGAATGAATGTAAGTTTTTCCTGAAGCCGAACCTGGATTTCTATTTCGCCCGATAGGTCAATGAATTCAACGTCCATAAAAAATAAGGGAAATATACTGGATGGTTATGGAATAGTGGATAATTATTCTAAATCGATAAATCATCCTGTATCTTTGTTATAAAGACTGTATAAGACTCATCAAATATGGTATTTCACCTTGGCGGCTACCATTGAAATGTTTCCCTTTACTTTTGGAACACCCTGTATACCAATCTATCTGTCGTTCATCTGAATATGTTATCATGAAGAAAATACAATACATGATCTACCACGAATTTACCAGATCCTCAATATGTTTGTAACGTCATCAAAAATAGATACCGCTTGAAAATACAAGAAAATGTTATGTTCAAGTCTACAAAATTCTTATTTACGACCTCAGTCGCTTCTGTCCATGTTTCTTATCGCGTCGCTCTTGTTTTGACGATGAACCTTCTTGATTAAAACAGTTACTCAACATAAACTCAGTGATTAGGTTAGCCTGCCATCATCTGCCAAATACTATATTTAAGTGCCAATAGTTAGGTGATGACATCTTCCGTTTATGTATTGATTGTTATTTTCATAGGTGAGTGTGAAATCTGCTCGATTCATAAATCCGCGATTAAAAATAGGGTCGTGATCTTTCTAATCTTCAACGGAGAATCATAGATTAAATGTGAGAATTATAAAAACTTCACCAACGATAAGGTTTATACAAAATTTTGAAAACATGACTTGTTTCGCTAACACAGTATAGCTTCTTCAAGTGAAATACTGGTACAATAAATTAACCTAACAATGATTTTGCTTAATGGTACAGGGTGCCCGAAATGTTTGGAAACGGTGGAACATCTCGAAAAAATTCGCGTCGGGTGATACATGAACAAAAAAGTGTTATTGTTTCATACCAAACTGAACCAATGAACCATACTGTACTATAGACCATTTTAAACTGATTCATTTATCGTATTATTTCATGCATTAAGTCCTGAGAAAAGTGTAATTCAATCATTAGTTGCCATGATTTTGAATTAGGCGCCATATACAGGGTGTATCTAAATAACACCGAACAAATTCAAGGGGTCATTCCTTGTGATATTCTAGCAAATAAAGTTCATATAAACATGTGTCCTAACTTGCTCCGTTTTTGATATACAGGATGTTGAAGTTGGAAGTATATACATGAATCCTTTATTTAGTCCATTTGGCTAATTTACATTTTCACCTCATTGCAATAATTACAATGAGAATGTTATATGTGTAAACATATTTTCATGCCTATATACAATACATAAACTTCTATACTCACTCACTATACATCTTTACGTCCTTACATCACATTCTAATACATATTTAATGAAAACACAAAAAACACTACACATTCTAAAACATTTGTAAACCTATCATACTTTATACTAAATCGAAACAAACAAAATGAGGAAGTGGCCGCTAGGTATTTCATTGATGAAGAAAATATGATTTCAACTGTGCCTTGAAGGATGTTAATGATATTAAACGTTTGATCTCTTCTGGCAGATTATTATAGCTATCAAGTCCCTTGAAAAAAACTGAATTTTGGGTATGTGTTAATGTTACTCGGTGAATATGGAAGTCAGTTCTGAATCTTGTATTGTATCCGTGGATTTGGTTATTGTACCTAACTTTTTCTTGCAGATATGTTGGGGAAATTTTATTTCTTATTTTGAAAATTAGGATTGATGTTTGGTAGGAGAAAGGAATCAATTGGTAACCATTCAAGTTCCTTCAACATGTCTCTTATCGGTGTACGTCTTTTGCAATTTAAAATTATGCGCATGGCTCTATTTTGTAGTTTCTGTAAACGAGCTGATTCATTTTGTTTCAGTAGGAATAGAATTGTAGAACAGTATGTGAAATGAGGGAGCACTAATGAATTGTACAGTAAAAGTTTCGTCCACCTTGTCAAATATGGGGCACAACGAGATAAATAATGTAATTTAAATGCTATCGTCTTTATAATGAAGTTGGCATGTTCTTTAAAATGTAACCCCCTATCCACATGAACCCCAAGATATTTGAATTGATTAACTAGTTCCACCTTATCAGGACCTAATATTACCTCAAAATTTTTGTTGCAAAAGTTTCTGTATCTTTTTTCTGTACTCATTACCATGTCCCAGTTAACACAAACATCTATGAGATGTCGCATTCATGGCAGTTGATGTCATAAAAGCGAATCACAATATTACATCGCTGATATCTACACGGAATTCCTCGTGTGACAGATAGTTCGCAAATTCCATCACATTCTGTAGGATCTGAGACCATTATGGATATAATATCGAAGAAGCTCCTTGACATAACAGAGACTATAATTTTGGAATCTAAAATTTCAGTAGTTGAGAGTCGTAATTCGATGTATCTTAATTGACAAACTGCTTCACATTGTGCAGAATGATAAAACAAAAATATGCGTCAATTTGTGAATCTCTCTCACATCTCAAGGAAATTCATTTAATATCGAACAATACTTGGAATTATCGGTCTACTCTCATACTCATGAATGTAGCGCACAATGTGACTTATGATAAGATTCGTACACACTCGGTCGGTGTCGGTCTGACTAATGTACACGTGTCCGTAAATTCTTCAGCAGTGGCATGCTTTCGTATCGTCCATTTCGATGTTCCAGTTCATTCGGTGTTAGTATGCAGTTCGGGTTTGACGTTATTGCTCACATACTGAAGCATGTTTTCCTAATAGTAAATTATGATTGACTAAAGATGCTATGTGCTTCTCATCTAAGTTACAGGGTAAGTACGATTACCTACAACGTTCATAACTTGATACAATACTGGTTGACAATGAGGAAAGGGTAGACGACACGTCGCAATTTCAAGACGATGATGATACTTACAATGTTAGCTTTGAAGATATCATTTTGAGATCAGGGTGTGAGTGAACGTGCACATTCTGATTGTACCTACATATATATAAGAATTGGTGCTACTCACGGTTGAACTATAAGTGGTGGGACCTAAGGTGGGCCCAAAGTCTGATTAAGAACAAAATTTTAGCAACATGAATGGAACGAAAAAATGCGCCGCAGCTATTCTCTATCTCCGTTGTCACCCGGTATGAAATAGTAGGTATGTAGATATGAAGTGACTCAAACACTTTTCAATATTCTCATTATGGTTATTCTCTACTCACTCTATAAGATAGTATTTCTTATCTATACTTACCCTATTATAGTTGTATAGATGATCAACAGGAAATGGGCAAAGAGAAATCAATTGATTGTTCTTATATTGATTTCCAGATGCCAAATCACAAAAGACATCTGGACCATTACCTTGGAATAATTTTAAATATTGAGCAGGGATTGGTTTCCATATGCTACAACGGAAGGAGCGATGAGGAGCAGATATTGGATGTTCTTGGCTACATGATGTGTTCGCATAGTTGGATTGATCCATTGATCTCATTCAAGTTAATTTCTTCACTATTATACAGGGTATATCTTCAACAGTTAACGCGATCTATATATGGAGAACTAAAAGTAGCACGATTCTTAAAATTTGTAGGGACGATGAAGGAATTATGGGAAATCCTTCTAAAATATTTTCGTTATTGTGAAGCTTCTGATTTTTCCGAAAGTGACTTCATCTTTGTTATTTCCAATGGAACACCCTGTATTATTCAACATTTTTGAATTCCTCTCATAATTTTGATTCAAATTAATGCATCATACCTCATACCCAAAATGGAGCGTTCTTGAGTTATTCGAGTTTTTCTTGAAAAAGTTCGACAAAATTTGTCATTCACTGCAGCCTTTTGAACATAGAAAATTTTTATGGGAATTTAAATTTTAAGTGATATGCATATTGATCAAATCGTGAATATTGATTGATCTGGAACATTGAAAATCTCAATTTTTTTCGAATGAAAACCATATTTTTTTCCATCATAATTCAATTCTATAATAAAAATGAGCCCTAGTTCGAAGTGACTTCCCTATACCCAGAACCAAAAATTTTGGAGATATTCCAAAAATAGTTTTTAATCCTGCATACTTTTTCCAGAAAAACACGAATAAGTCAAGCACGCTTCATTTTAGGTATATATATATACTTAAGTAAAAGTATGCAGGATTAAAAACTATTTATGGAATATCTCCAAAATTTTTGGTTCTGGGTATAGGGAAGTCACTTCGAACTAGGGCTCATTTTTATTATAGAATTGAATTATGATGGGAAAAAATATGGTTTTCATTTGAAAAAAAATGAGATTTTCAATGTTCCAGATCAATCAATATTCACGATTTAATCAATGCATAGCACTAAAAATTTAAATTAGGGTATGATACATAATTTTGAATCAAAATCATGACTTGAAGAGGCCATATTTTGAGGAAAATTACTGTCCGGAGCTTCAATAGTATAGAGGAATACAGAAATGTAAAAAAATTCAGGGTGTAATTTATATTGAAAAAAAAAAGATGCCCTCACTTCTGGAAAAAACGGAAGCTTGACGATAACAAAAATATCTTAGTTGGATGCTTCATGTTTCCTTCACCGTCATTACGAATGTCCAGAATTGTGCCACTTTTAGTTCTCCATATACCGGGTGACACAGACTCATGGTATACGCCCCTCTTCTAATTTTTTTCTTCTAGCTATATTTCTAGAAGTTGAAACATCGAATATGCTCACTAGAGGGCACTTTCTCACATTTTAGGATTTTTTCCACCTTTCCGTTTTCCTGGAAATGACTTCAACTTTCGATTTTCAAACGGAACACCCTGTACTTTATTTCATGATTGGTTGGAGATTATTATAACGAATTCAACGATACCGGGTTTGATTGGGTTATTTCAAACGATCACGAAGATATTTGCGTTCGAAGTTTCGATATTGCGCCGTCACAACCATTGATCATAATATGGATACTTCAAACGTAAATATCTTCGTGATCGTTTGAAATAACCCAATCGAACCCGGTATTGTATTTGTTATTATAGTCTCTAACCAATTGAAGAATAAAATATGGGGTATTCCATTCAAAAATCGAAAGTTGATGTCAATTCCAGAATAACTGGAAGATAAAGAAAGTCATAAAATGTGAGATAGTGCCCTGTATATAGTCAGCATATTCGATGTTCTAAATTTCAGTAATATAGCTAGAAAAACAAAGGAGAAAGAGGGGTAGACCATGAGTATGTGTCACCTGGTAATCCCGGTATAGATATCGCCTTAACTCGTGAAGATATTCCCTGTATAATAATCATTTCAACAATGTCCAGGCTAACGCTGATTCTAAAATTTTAATCATTGTTAGATGTAGCTATAGTTTTGCTCAATATTACATGTACGTACATATTTTGATGTGAAATGAGATTAATTTTCAATAAAATCGAGTAGCCTTGTGAAACGTTTGAGTTATCTATTTGACCAGAGATTCGACACCTATCAGTCCTCTCATTGAATACCTTCATCAATCTACATGTGATTTCACTAGAGAATCAAAACTAAATATGTATGTGGCATTTTTGAGAAGCACAATATAATTTTCTCAGGGCCGCTATTATATCAGTATAATAATCGAAAAGAACCTCACATTTAGAAATGGTCGATGGTTTACCAAACCTCACATTTTGATTATAATGTAACCTCAATGTGAGTCTAATTCAAACGTGAAATCTAGAGTCACATTCAGCTAACTTTGAGTCCCATTCGGCATCTAAATGTGAATCATAAAATGACCAAAAGGGTCCGGAATAGCAGTCATTGTGATTTCAGTAGGACTCTCAATTCGAGTCACGGATGTGATGTGTGGCATGAATGTGATGCCCTCTAATATCTCTGGGATCAATCTGTGTTAACTGGGGTACTTGGTCTTCTCAACATTAATCTTCAAATAATTAGCGCAACACCAACTGTAAATTGATTTTAAAGTTCTATTTATGGTTTCCATGAGCTTTATGTGATCATTACATGAGAAATAAATCAGTGTATCATCTGCAAATAAATGAACGGAGCTCTCACCTACTACCTCTGGCAAATCATTGATATATAACAAAAATCATAGGGGGTCCAGTACACTTCCCTGTGGTACTCCTTGATTACATTCTATTTCATTTGATACTTTATTATTTATCTTGAGCTTTTGCTTCCTGTTATCTAAAAAACTTCTCAACCATTTTAATATCATTCCATCTATTCCTACTGCTGCTAATTTTGTTAACAATCTATTTCTGTGTATTGTCTCGAAAGCCCTCTGGAGATCCAAAAATACTGCAACAGTAGTCTCATTTTTTTCTAGGCTAATTTTCCAATCATCAAGTACACATTGAACTGCTGTTTCACAACTATGTTTATTTCTAAACCCTGATTGATACTTACTTAACATTTTATTATTTTCTATATACTCTACTAATTGGTTATAGACTGCTTTTTCGATTATGAATTGTTTTTATTTATTATCCCCCTGTATAAGCTTTCATGGTGCCAAAATTCAGTATGGTTGGAGACTGAGGAAACCCTAAAATTTCGAAATGATTGTAATTGGGGTAATCTCAATGGAAGTCTTGAAAATACCTACATTAAAATTTGGAGTCAAATCGAATTTTTATAGTTTCTTCAAAAACTAAGCTTGATACTTGAATCATACAGAGGGTTGTTATTTCAATAGTTCAATCTAATAAAGATATGAAACTCTGAAAAATCCGTGGGGTACAATGACATTCACCATAAATATCGATAAAATAACCCACTGTGACGCCACTGGGGATATTATTTCGAATCTAATTGCAACAGAAGAAGCTCCATATCACTATCAACGAAACCACAACGTTTTATCAAAATTGATGAAAAGACAATTGAGTAATGAATAAAAAACACAAGTTCATATAACCTTTTTTTGCCTGAAATATCACCTGGAATCACCCCTTGAAGTTTTTTGGTGTTATTTAGATACACCTTGTATACAGTGCCTTCGTAAGGTATTGAATTAATTTATTTCTAGTCGAACTATCCATTCCTGAGGAATCTCCTGAAGCTGGCCGATTCTCAATATCAATTTGCCATGATTGTACAGGAAAATTTGATATACAGGGTGATCTACGTTCGAGTAGTGACGTCAACATGACAATCTTTTCAACTGAAACGACACCCCATATATTATTCAATTTTTTGAATCCCTATGAGAAGCTGAATTGGAAAATATATCACACATAAATCTGTTGAATTTAGTGTGACCAAGATTGAATTGCACAGCATGGGGATCTCGATGATCAATCCGTACACCCTGTATAAGGTTTATTGAATATTATATTTCTTTTTGTGACGGGAAAAAATTTTTGAAATTCCATCTCTGCTGACAGGTAATGAAATGTCACTCTTCATGAATTACTTTTTTCCCATTGAAAAAAAACTGAGTAATGTTTTCCTAGATATATATCACATATACAGGGTGTCCCTAGACCAGTGGGACAGTTGAATATCTCCTGAACCAATAGGAATTTTCAAAATATTATGATTCCACATCATATCGCATTATGAGTGCTAACTTCAGGAATGACTATATTTTATACGAGGGGCGCAAGAAAGGCTCACAAAATCGAACATCAATTTTTTCAAATGGAACACCCTGTCTTTCATTGCATTTTTATATTCTCCTTGATGAGCTGAGTTCAACGACCTAGCACACTTGGGGTCTAGCGGGAATGATTTCCGAGATATAGGGTGTGGAAAATCGAGATTCTTCATTTCTGGGAATTTTTTGTGTCGAAACTATTCATTATTGGTCAAAACGGAATACATGTCCAGATCTCAACTTTTGATTTACTATTTACTCATATTCAATTGAAACAAATACAGGGTGGTGTAGAAATTTCAGTTTCAGTCAGAATTCTGTATTTGTCAGGCAAGTTAATTTATCAATTATTTATTATATCTGGATGTTATACATCTGATTGTAGGTAGGTATTCGAAGGAGTCGTCATTCTGTTCTATTATCTTCCAGAATTCAAAAATGCAGATAGGTGAAAAACTGAAAAAACATAGAATATGATTTTTACTAGGATATTTTTCAACCTACCTGTGTCCTGAACACTTTTTTGGCAAATAGAAAATTCACTGCTGAAGGTAAGAGTCTGCCAGTAGGTGTATAATACTTCTGAGACAGTATTGAGCATAGTCTGAGAAAATTAATACTGTGAAGAGAGATTGAAAATTGGCATGAATCAATAGAAAGAATCAAAACATAAACAAAGAGAAGCCATGACATGTCTACTGACGTCACAATAGGGAGAGATAGTCAGCGGAACCTGATTGGGCAGCCGTCCGATTGACCACTCCTTGTATTTATTGTATTCATTTTTGAGATTTACCCACGTGTCAGCTGTTTCCCCATAAATTTTATTTATTCTTGCATTATATAGTTAGTTATAAGGGTAAGGAAATATTATGGCAATTGTGGATTATTGTCAGTATAAACTGGCAATTATAGCTAAATTGCAGTTCAAACTGGCAATTATTATGAAAAAAATCATCATGTTCGTTTAGCGCTCTCGTATCAATCTGGTTGTTTAAATAAATTCAGAATTGAAAGGCCAATCGAACCGTGTGAAAAAAATTCAGATTTCTATTTTGAATAAGGCACACCCTGGGGGACTAAATAAATATTTCAGGTAGGTAGCATACCAATTTTGAAGTTTTCCTGAAAAATTGGGTTCAAGATGATTGTCGACTTGAATATGGAATTTTTATGGATATTTTTGGGGTATAAGCCACCTCCAATATTAACAAAATATTATGAAAATATCGGCAGTATTTGACACAAAACATTTTCCAATCTCTTCGATATGGAATCACATAATAAGAAAATACATCATCAAACATTACTGCCTCCTTTTTTCATTAACTAATTCAAATCCCAATCAGTACCTTGTAGTAAACTCTTCTTTTTTTTCAGTTAATCTTCTCGCAACAACAGGCGACGTTACTTTATCATGGACTTCTCCAATATACCCCAAGCTCTACTCCAACGATAGCAACATCAACCCCTTCGGCACACCGATAACACCAGACCAAGATGCGTGGATCGGATCTCTCCTCAACGTGGGAGCCATTTTGGGCACGATACCATTCGGATTAATATCTAGCAGATATGGCCGCAAAGTTGGACTACTCGCTGTGGCGATACCCCACATCATATCATTCATTACCATGGCATTAGCGAAAAATGTTTATCTATTCTACATTGCGAGATTTGTAGGAGGATTATCTGTTGGGGGTGGTTATGTCCTCCTTCCTTTATACATCGCAGAAATATCACAAGACCACAACCGAGGAGCCATGTCATTGACTCTGAATATATTCTGGGCCCTAGGGAATTTTATTCCTTACGCTATAGGGCCGTTCATGTCCATTTATTCCTTCAACATAGTGCTGTCAGCTCTTCCCATAGTATTCCTAGTTTTATTCGTTTTCTTGGGAACAGAATCTCCATACTTCTTGGTGAGGACAGATAGGATTGGTGAAGCCACAGAGACACTGATGTTCCTGAGATCATCTTCTAAAGCAGAGGTTCAAGAGGAGATAGACCATATCAAAACTTACATTGAGCAATCAGAAAATGGAAATATTTTAGACTTCTTTCGACACAAGTACCTGAGGACAGCATTCATGATATGTACAATTACAGTTATGCTCCAGGAGTTAGGTGGATTTTGCGCCATCACATATCACTTACAGATTATATTCATTGCAGCTGGTTCTGAATGGAAGCCTGAACTATCAGCTCTTGTTGTTGGGTTGGTTCACTTCGTTTCCAGCTTCATATCGCCTTTTTTGGTTGATAGAGTAGGTCGAAGATTGCTAATCATATGGTCTTGCCTAGGAATGTTCGTAGCGTTGATACTCTTAGGAGGTTTCTTTTATATTCAAGATATCGCGGATGGTAGTACGACGTCCATATTCTGGGTGCCTATCTTCAGTCTCATATTCTACATAATCTTTTTCAATCTTGGCATCTGCTCTGTGCCATGGACTCTGACATCGGAGATGTTTCCGAATAATTTGAAGGAGGTTGCAGCTTCAACGATAACAAGTATCGCGTGGATCACTTCTTTCATTACAACGAATACTTATAACGACATGAATGATTTCATTGGGAGGCCAGGTACTTTTTGGTTTTTCGCTGCATCGTGTTTTTGCGGTGCAATTTTCAGTGTTGTTTATGTCCCTGAGACGAAAGGAAAGAGTTTTAGTGAAATTCAGCAAATGTTGCTGACAAATGAGAAGTCTGATGGAGTGAAGGATAATGACATGAAGCTGGAAGATACCAACAAGAAAAAAGAACTGAGTGAAAAATATGGGTACACATGTGATTGAACAATATTTTAGGATTATGATCAGTGTGAAATTCACTTATTCAAAAAACAAGATGTCAATATTTTTTGTTATCAATTCCACTGAAGATTCGAAGGAAAATATGTCCACATCGTCTAGTCAGTTCATCGAAGTAAATAATATTCCTATACCATATTTATGCATATTGATTCATACCGAATATCCACCATACTAATTAGTATTTTATCAAAATGTCGATAAATTTGGGAAATCAGCATAGAAATTATTGATGTCCTTGATATTTTCTGAGACAACATTTCATGAAGAGATAGACTGAGTATATCAAAACTTACATCAAGAAACTCGAAGATGAACGTATTTCATCAAATGAAATGATGAACTTTTGACACTTGAATCAAAGAAATTATTTTTTTCACTACTAGTTTTTGAACCTACCAACCCAGACAGCACAGAATATTCTATGAATGTTCTCACAACGTTTACATTATACCGCCTTTAGAATAATCCGAAGAACATTCAAAGAATATGATGAGGATGTTCTGAATGTTCCAAGAATGTTTTGCGAGTATGTTCATAGAATATTGCATCCAAATATGCTAGGAACGTTCCTAGAATTTACATTATATTTTATGCATGATGGTATGTTCATAGCAATATTTAGATACTCAGAGAAAGAGAATAATAATTTTTGTTTCCCATGAACATACCATGTACTAACTAAATACTCTTCGCTGATTTTGATAAAACTTGTCACGCTCGTCTGCTGTTAGCAATAGGGTTTAGTGAATTCATATTTACCGCTATTTTCTTGAATTAATTTCCTCCTACCCTACCCGAGTTATAAGTCGGAATTTTGAAGTTTCTATTTTTTTTTCGATCTCTAGAATGTAAAAACTTTAACAAACGATTAAATTTCCACAAAATTCCTAGACACACAACATGGTCCGCTAATACAGTAGCTTCGTCAGGTGATATATGGTACAATGAACTAAACCAACCTTGGCTTGCTTCTTCCTTCTATCCTACTATACCGGGTGTCAACGAATCTTTTAGACAAGTCATACCTTCTAGACCTTTAGGTGTATCGAAATGAGATTTGGTATAGGTAAATGGTATGTGAAGAGCAGAGTTTTTACATATTTTTTACTTCCCGGTCACTTCCGGTTTCACCGGAAATGGCTTCGGTTCTAAATTTTCGAATGGAACACCCTGTATATTGTAACATTTTTGGATTTCTGAGACAATTCTAGATCAGAACGTGACATTTCCGGAAGTTTTTATGCCCATTTGATTTTTTCGGAGTCACTTTTGGAATTACATCTAGGTGGCCATGATCGGAAGTAAACTAATCTAAGGACCTCAGGTGATATCAGAGAATTACAATCGCGAAGTTTTAGTGAGAAGTATGATAGATATGAATAAGACAAGTTGGCGAAATTACATTTTCGTGTCTTACTATTATTTTTCAAATGGCAACCATTTTTTGACAAGCACTTTCCGAAAAAGGGATATTTTGAGGAATCTAACGATACTCATGTATTTGCGATTGGATTACAAATAAGAACATAAATTAAATATTACTGACGAAAATACTTCATAATAATTTATTTACTTTTGTCAAGTGTGCCATGGATGATGATTCATTTTCTTGTATAAGCACTTCCCGATAAAAGAATATTTTGACGAATCAAACGATACTAATTTATTTGCGATTGGATCAACAAATTTAACAAAATCAACAATAACTTCAGCGAAGCACTTACATTTTTTTCAATTTCCTAATTTCTTAAAATTTTCACTATAGTAAATTTTCAAAGTGCATTTCTCCTTGTTCAAGACACATATTTAATATTTAATTCATGTTCTTATCTGTAATCCAATCACATATGAATTAGTATAGTTAGATTCGTCATAATACCCTTTTGTCGGAAAGTGCTTGTCAAAAAATGGTCGCCATTTGAAAAATAATAGTTAGACACGAAAATGTAATTTTGCCAACTTGTCCTACTCATATCTATCATACGTGCCACTAAAACTTCGCGATTGCAATTTTCTGATATCACCTGAGGTCCTTAGATTAGTTTACTTCCGATCATGGCCACTTAGATGTAATTTCAAAATTGTCTCCGAAAAAATCAAGTAGGCATAAAAACTTTCGAAAATGTCACATTTTGATCTAGAATTGTCTCAGAAATCCAAAAACGTTACAATATACAGGGTGTTCCATTTACAAATTTAGTACCGGATCCATTTCCGGTAAAACCGGAAGTGACCGGAAAGTGGAAAATATTTAACAAACTCTCCTCTTCACATACCATTCATCTTCACCGAATTTCATTTTGATACACCTAATGGTCTAGAAGTTATGACTTGTCTAATAGATTCGTTGACACCCGGTATTTGAGACGGCTATGTGCACTAGACTAATGAACTTTATGAATCACTGTACCTAACCTAATAAACTTGCATCAGCATGGTTATATCAAAGGAAGATCTGTACAAACTGCTATTATTCAATTTACAGAAAAAAATAATAGAATTTTTTTGAAAAAAATGAGATTTTGCTAGGAATTTTCTTAGACTTCTCTAAAGCCTATGACTGCTTGAACCACAATTGTTTGCTCTCAAAACTTGAGAAATATGGAATTCGTGGCAATGCATTCAAATGGTTCGAGTCATACCTATTAGATCGAAAATTATGCATGGAGGTAAAATCACTAAGTCACACATAAAAGAATACAAAATTGGGATTCCACAGCATTCGTATACTTTGTGAATACCTGGATGAAAAGTCCCTTAAAATTATCTGTCATGCCCTAACTTTTCCAGCGACAATAACGGAACACGGAACCTATAACTTTCGAAAGCATAACAACCAGCCATAAACAAATAATGTTTGATGAATTAGATTGTCCTACCGAATTACACTCTAGCTTTTTTTTGTTAGTCGAAGTAATTTATAATTTATAATTCGAATTTTGTTGCCATTAGGTAATTCAACTCAAAAAACTGCCAGAAAAAATTACTCGTCCTACGGACTCGTAATTTTTTCAGAGGCAGTTTTTTTCGTCAAATTGCCAGGCAACAAAATTCTTATTGATACATGTCAAATTTACTTCGACAAAAAAAAACTCTCGTGTAATTATAAGTGATAATTAAAAATGTGATGCTGAAATATTCACTTGAAAAATCAGATGTAAGAACTTCACAATCGATAAGATTTCTACAAAATTCATAATCACACAACATGTTTCGCTCACACAGTAGCTTTATCAGGTGATATACTGGTGCAATGAAATAATTTCATGTTATGTGTTAGCGAAACATGTCGTGTGATTAAGAATTCTGTAGAAATCTCATCATTCGTGAAGTTTTCACATTTGCTATGGATTTCCATTAAGTAACGGCTGAGTCACTTCAAAATTTGAAAAATCATAGGCAAACTTTCAATATTTTGTAACTTCTAGCTACCGTAACTTTTAGCAATGGAAGACTTCAGGAATGAGAGGAAGGTATAATATGAAGTACTGGTGATATTTTGACCTATTCCGATAATATTGTTGAATTAGATACAGTGAGGTATTCTCCAATATCAGTTTAAAAGATGTAGATGATCCAACAAGAATTTATAGTCATCACAGGAGGTCTACTCACAACAATTCCATAGTTGAATTATTATGGAAAGCATTTATAGTGAACTTGATAATTTCATTATACCCTTCTTTTGGCTCATCAACATTCTCTCAATAAAGTTGATAGCTGATACCACCAGGTATATTTTCAATAGGTTAGTCACTTAGTGTCTGAGTATTATCCGCATGATGTATAAGCTATATCATCTTGTTGAATCTACATGAAATTATTGGGTTTCCAGTTATATTGTGCTGATTGACCCACAATAACTAATATCGCAATATCGTATGTTTGTTAGTACTATACATATTGGTAAATTTCTAGCAATATACTATAATTGTCAACGTATTTATTGCTATTTCCAGAAGGTCATCCAGTTGTTTCATCCATAGAAGATGCAAACTGACAAATAAAATCATTGACAGCTATTCGGAAGTCATATTATTGTGAAAGAATCACAAAAATGCTGATGAGTTTTGGACATATTTTCAAAAATGAAAAAGAATTTCGAAAATGACAACACATCTTCACCAGTGTATATTTTCAACGTGTTGTCAAAGTTGAATTAAACAGCAATCTGCGAACATAACTAAAAACGGTAATTCATAAGTAGAAAGTACCTACGTGATGTCAACTCTACCAAAGTGGTTGCATGAGAACATTTCATCGATAGCATCGCATATTTTTTCGTGCATTGTATTGATATACTATCGATGGGGTAATATTAAATTTGTTATGATTTGAAAGACGATTAGAGTTTTATCGTAAGTGAATCTGATCTAACTCATGTTATGACACGACGATAATGACCATGGGTACCCACAGAAAGGGGCCAAGGGGGTCTGGCACGCTTATATGCATTAATGCTTACAGCTAGATAAAAATTATTGGACATAGCCCTCACAAAAAGATAACCTTATACACGTGTTTAGGGCTTTCGGCCGCATCAGTACGGTGAGAGAAAGTGCAAAAGATAGGCAGCACTTAGTAAAGCACAAAACAACAAATAAACGGAGCCAGCAAACAGAAGCCAGCCGCATATTTGTGGTTTACTTGTTGTTTCGTCTTCTACCAAGTGCTGCCTATCCCTTGCACTTTCTTTCTCCGTACTGATGAGGGCCGAAAGCCCGAAACACATGTATACGGTTATCTCCTTGTGATGGCTATATCCAATAACCTCTTCCTACTTACTCAACTGTCCCCTCGAGATATATCCCATCATATATGCTTATATGTATATGGTTCACAAAAATAGTGTTATCAGCCATCAGAATAAATCTATACAGCAAGACGTTTTTTTTTAAGAGTGGAGAATCTTCAGAAAGACGAATGGTCGCCCATCGACCAGACAGTGTCAGATTTTTACTGACTAAAAAAACACTCGTGAACATAGGAAAGCCTGTTCGGGAATGCCCTCGGTGTTACTTCTAAGATGGTCGTTCTGTTGTTGTTGTTGTTATGGGCTCTTCCCCTTTTTTTATCTCACAGTCATATTTCCTCTTTATTTCTTACTACTCCTTTTCTATTTGTGGATGTGATTATCATG